ACTGAGTTAATACCAACTATATATAATCTCTTCCAGAAGATGGAAGAGAAGAGACCATATTCCAATTCATTTTATGAAGCTAGTATTACCCTGATACCAAAACCAGACAAAGGCAGTACAAAAAAGAAATTTACAAATATCCCTCATAACTACAGAGGCAAATACCTTTAATTAAATATTAGGAAATAGAGGGGCACCTGGGTGGCTCAGTGGGTTAAAGCCTCTGCCTTCAGCTCAGGTCATGATCTCAGGGTCCTGGGATCGAGTCCCACATCGGGCTCTCTGCTCAGCAGGGAGCCTGCTTCCTCCTCTCTCTGCTTTCCTCTCTGCCTACTTGTGATCTGTCTCTGTCAAAGAAATAATTAAAATCTTTAAAAAAAATAAAAAATAAAAAAATAAATATTAGGAAATAGAATTCAACACTGTATAAAAGGAGTTATACATACTTACCAGGTAGGATTCACTCCAGGAATGCAAGGCTGTTTTAATATTTGAAAATCAATATTATCCACCAAATTAAAAGGCTAAAGAAAAAAATCACATGATCATATCAATTGATATAGAAAAAGCATTTGACACAATTCAACACACATTCATTATCAAAACTCTCAGAAAACTAGAAATAGAGAGGAACCCCTCAACTTGATGAGCTACATCTACAAAATACCCACATCTAACACTATACTTTATAGTGAAAGAATGAAACTTTTCTCCCTAAAACAGAAAAAAAGGCAAAAATATCCACTCTTACCACTCTATTTAGCATAGCATGGGAAGTTCTAGTCAGTACAGTAAGCAAAGGAAGGAAATAAAGGGCATATAAATGAGAAAGGAATACATTTTTCCTAGCTTCAGATGACGTGATTTTCTACATAGAAAATTCCAAGGAATCTACCAAAACAAAACCAAACAAAAACTTCCTAGAACTAACAAGTGAGTTTAGTTAAGATTACAGGATAGATAAACACAGTGTATTTTTATATGTTATCAATAAACATTTGGGCATTGAAATTTAAAATGTAATACTACTTATATTTGCTCAAAATACAAATTAAATGGGGCACCTGGGTGGCTCAGTGGTTTAAAGCCTCTGCCTTCGGCTCAGGTCATGATCTCAGGGTCCTGGGATCGAGCCCCGCATCAGGCTCTCTGCTCAGCGGGGAGCCTGCTTCCTCCTCTCACTCTGCCTGCCTCTCTGCCTACTTGTGATCTCTGTCAGTCAAATAAATAAATAAGATAAATATTAAAAAAAAAACAAATTAAATGCTTAAGTGTAAGTCTAACAAAATATGTACAGGTTATATGCAGAAAACCACAGAATGCTGATGAAAGAAGTCAAAGAAAATCTAAGTAAATGGAAAGACACTGAATTCATGGATTGGAAGAATTAGTGTAGTAAAGATGTCAATTCTTCACAAATTGATATATAGGTTTCACTCAATTCCTATCAAAGTCCCAACAACATTTTCTGTAATATTGACAAGTTTACTCTAAAATCTATTTGGAAACAGAGGAATTAGAATAGTCAAGATGATTTTTTCTTTTCTTTTTTTTTTTTTTTTCCCATGCTCTATGTGGTACTTGGCCTTGAGACCTTGGGATCAAGAGTCACATGCTCTACCAACTGAGCCTGCCAGGCACCCCAATGCAAGTTTTGTTTTTGTTTGTTTGTTTTAAGTAGGATCCACATCCAGCATGGAGCCCAATGCAGGGCTTGAACTCACGACCCTGAGATCAAGACCTGAGCTGAGATCAAGAGTTAGGCGCTTAACTGACTGAGCAACCCAGGAACCCCACCCCAACACAATTTTTAAAAAGAAAAATAAAGTGGGAGGACTCAAAATACCTAATTTATTTTATAGCTTCAGTGATCAAGACTGTGTGGTATTGGAGGATGTCTAGATACAGGCTGATAGAACAGAGTAGAACACTCAGGAATTGGCCCACACAAAGAGACTCAACTGATTTTTTATAAAGGTGCAAAAGCAATAATGGAGAAAGTGTAGCCTTTTCAATGGATGGTGCTATAGCAAATTGGACATTCATAGAGAAGAAAAAAAACTCTACCAAACCCACAATTTTTATATAACAAATAATTTCATATGGATTCACAGATTAAAAATTAAATGGAAAACTATAAAACCTTTACATAAAAAAATAGGAGCAATCTTTTTGAGTTTTAGGACCAAAGAGTTCTTAGACTTAATGTCAGAATATTGATCCATGGAAAGAAAAGTTGGCTAATTGACTTTTATCAAAATTGAAAACTTTATTCTGCAGAAGATTGTTAAGAGGTTGAAAAGACAAGCTGAAAACAGAAAATATGTGGAAACCACATATCTGACAAAGGACTAGTATCTAATATATATTAAGAAATCTCAAAACTCAACTGCAAAAAAATTTCAATTAGAAAACAGGCAAAAGAAATGAACAGACATTTCACCAAAAAGGATATATAGATGGCAAATAAGTGCATGAAAAAGTGTTCGCATCATTAGCCATTAAGGATGTGCAAACCTCAATGAGACATCACTACACACCTGTCTGAATAGCTAAAATGAAAGACTGTGGCAACACCAAATGTTGGTTAGGCTGCAGAGAAACTGGATCATTCATATACGACTGATGGGAATGTAAAATGGTATAGCTACTCTGAACAAGCTTGGAGTTTCTTTAAAAACTAAACATAGATTCATCATATGACCCAGTAATTGAGCTGCTAGGCATTTATCCCAGGGAAATTAAAACTTATGTTCACACAAAAACGATACATTAATTTTCATAGCAGCTTTATTTGTAATAGATAAAAACCTAAAGCAACCCAGATGTTCTTCACTGAGTGAATGTTCATGAACTCTATACATCCATACCACCACAATAAAAAGGAGTGAATTATTAATACACACAACTTAGAGGGATCTCCAGAAAATTATGGTGAGTGAAAAAAAAGCCATTCCCAAAAGTTTACGTACTGTATGCTTCCATTTATATGAAGTTCTTGAAATGATAAGATTCTAGAAATAGAGAACACATTAGTATTTGCCAGGGGTTATGGAGGGAGTCAGGGCTAGAATGAACTAGGTGTGGCCAAAGTGTAACATCATGAATATTCACGGTGATGGAAATGCTGTCTTCACTGTATCACTGTCAATATACTAGGTGTGATACTGTAGGATAGTTTTGCAAAATGTAATTATTGGGGGAAACTGGGGAAAAATGCACAGGATCTCTAAGTACTATTTTTTTATAGTTATGTAAGAATTTACAGTTATCTCAAAATAAAACCTCTACCTTAGAAAAATTGCCTTAAACCTCAGTGAATTCACTGTCCTTCAATATACCTGGCTAATTTCAGTCCTTCATTTGGCTCCATCTCCTTACTCCAGCCACCTCCTTCTCAACAGATACCACCACCAACAGCCAACATATATTGGGCATTTGTTCTGTGACACCTTTGTGTACTATATGCAGTAAGAACTTTATATGTATTAACTCATTTAGTCTTCATAACAGACAACTTTGAATTTTATTATTCATAGGAAGTAGCAGCCTCAGAACCAGTCTCTCTAGTTCATCCTCAATCATCCATTCCTTTTCTTCTTCT